AATCAAATTAAATTTTAATAAAGTTAGAGACATGGTCTCACCATTAATATTAAAAAAAAAAAAAAAAAAAATAATTAATAAATTTATATATAAAACTTTACTAATTAATATATATACTATATATAATTTAAACTTATAAAACTTTATAAATTTGAACTTTATAATCAACTTTTACAATTACCTGTATAACTATACAAACTTATAATAATAAAATCTATGATGTCTAATCATACTTTTATTTAAATTAAGAATGATGTGAAGACATTTAATAATGTATACAGAGTTTTTTCCAGGGCATACTAAATTTTTGTTTCTATTCTTTAATAAGTTAGGCTTATTAATTATAAATGCCAATAACACAGTAATGAAAATATATATGCATTAGACATATAGCACATTATTACCTTGTTTATCTGTTTCCAGATTTCAAAAGTACGATGTGTTTTAGAGTAAATTCTCTGTCTAATACTTTAAAATTCTAATGCTTTAATATGAATATTTAGTTTACTAAAATTGGATAAATTGATTTAATTTGGAGAATTTTTATTTTTTTTTAAAAAAAGATATATAACTTTTTATAAAATAACATTTCCTTATTTATTTTCTTTAGCCAACATTGTAAAATCAACTTGTTTTCTTTTTTCAGATCTTTTATGCGGTTATAAATTTTTTTTAATTCTAATCACAGCATTTCACATTATTGCATAGCAGCTAAGTATAAAATTTATGAAAGTTTAATAGTAAAATAGATCAAATGCTAAAACTCAATATATGATCCTATTATTTTCAGTTGGTTAATCATTTTTGAAAGTATTGAATACCTACTGGGTATTTTCGATATTCTACTAGCATTCTTCTTGCTGACATAATATTGAATAGAACATCAAACAAGTTGAGCACCAACAATATCTAGTAGACATTCAGCACCTTCTGCAATCAATTAACAACTGAATATGATACGGCTATATATTGTAGTATTAATAATTTATTGTTATACTACCTGAATTGTAATATCTTTTTTAAAAGCTTGATTGGTTTTGATTAATTTTCAAGTTCTAATAGATTTGTTAAAGAAATTAATTACAATAAATATTCTTAAAAAAAAAAAATAATAATGAAAAAAAAAGTATCCAAGTATTTATCTTTAATTTTTTTTGATCATCTCTTCATAAATATGAGAAGCATCATTTAAATTTAACTCTTGTGCATTTGTTTTTTTGAGTTTTGAATAATTTTAAATGCTTCTCTTTAAGGGTTTGAATCTGTTGTTCTAATTTTGCAGTTTGTTTTTGATTCAACAGATTTCTAAAAACTATAAAGTTCATAAGAAAATAAAACAGTAACTTAAATTATAGTTACTCTTATATCTGTCCTCTTAAAATCTTGTTTATTCAGAAAAATTAATATATTTTTTAGCTATCAGTCTTTTAAATTAAAAAAGTGTACAGGTTGGACAATTTCATTACAAAAAAAAAAGGGTTGCATTCTTTATTGATATTGATCAATTGACTATAATTAGAATTTAACAGCCAAATATACTAATTTAATCTTTTGCAGAACAAGTATTCTGATAATTTCTAATTCTTCCAAATAAACTGCACTTATAACCCTCGTCTGTTGCTAAACTTCCAACCATATTTTTATCTTTTGAATTTGTATTATTTCTGATTTTATTTGATGAATTCAATTGTTTTATTGGTTGTCTTCTCTTCGATTAATATTATAATAGATTTAAAACTTGTTTATAATTAAGTAGATTTTTATCTATACTTTGATTCTCATTCATAGCTGTTTTTTTTTTCAAAGATTCTTGCTGCTTAGCTTTCTCTGCATTATTTTTTTAGGCTGTTTTTTTATTGTTATATGCTTTAATAAATTGAAATAATTAGTTATCATTGTCTTGAATTGCGAATTAAAATGCCTTTTTGCCTCACTCATTAAAGTGCCAAATTTTAATCGATCTTGAGAAATTTTTTTATATTTTTTTTCTGAAGAAACATTAGTGTTTACTGTATATTGTTAAGTAAAAGGCTAAATCTGTGCGTTATCACAACAAAAATTACATTTCATAATTGCAGTTTCCTTAAGATAAGACTTACTTGAATCAATATATTTATTCTTAAACCAATGACTAGAGATCATTAATATGTAAAAACATGCTTTGGAAGATTCAACAAATACCTTAAAACATGCTACATATAATACTATGAGTAATGAGCATAAAACAAGTGCACAAATACTCTCTATTATTTCATAAAATTATATGTTAGTAGTATTTAAAATAGTCATATCGAAAAATTTTTCAGATTTCTAGAATATCATTGGAATTAACTATTGCAATTAAAGATTGCAGGTTAAGTTCATGGTCCTTGTCAGCTTCAACAGGAATTTCAGAGCTACCATCTGTTTCTTTATCGAAAAATGGTTCAAATAAATCATCATCTGATATTAAAATTTCTGATATTTGTACTTTATAAGTATAATAGCAAACAGACTAACTTATTTTCTTATAATGTGTATTGTGAATTGGCTGTATAACATATTTTTTTAAACCTAATCGATGTTACTAAAAAAGTTTAAATAACAAATAGTTGTATATACTGTAATATAGATGCTTTTCAAATTAAGTATTGATAATTAACTGATTCAAATTCAAGACCTTCTCAAGTACTTTCTGAACTTCTAAAAGAGAAAAACTCAACTGCACAGCTTTTTTATAAGTGCATTTTCTGATTCAACACACTGTGTAGATTGTGTACTTGCTATAAAATACTGGAACATAAAACATTTAACCCAAGCATACTTCTGATTTAATAACATTGTAATTATATATCTTTCTTTTGTAGCATATTTTTCAGCTATTCTTTGAGATCTTCATTCAAATATACTTCACAGTGAGAACTTTGAATATTCTTAAAGTTCTTAAGAAACTCCTGATAAAGTAAACCAAGACGTAGACAAAGATTCTTTGCAAGGTTTTGATAAAGATTATATAAATATTATATGTGATAAGACTTAAAAAATACTACAGAAACAGCTGCAATCATTGCAGAATTTGCATTAGTTACAAATGTTAATAAAGAAATTTCACATATATTTAGACAATATTTAAGTAACCACTTATATGATTTCTGCTTTTTGTCCTAAATTAATGCTTGAGCTGCTAGTCTGCTTTTGTTATAATTATCAATTAAGATGAATAAGCTTAACAAATAATTATATTTGTTGGTTCTTGCAGTATTATTATGAATGATAATATCATAAAATTTAAGCCATCTTCTTCAATGCTCTAGTGACATCCAAAAAATACCAATTAGCTAATTACTTGTATTATTTATTAACAGTTTCACAAACCATGCAGGATCATGAGCTTAAAGCTCAAAAGTTTTGGCAACAAAGCTGCTACATCACCTTAATCTAGTCCATTTTCTCATTTAATTTTTTGGATAGCATTTCCAAGATTTTGGGTTAAAAATACATGATTAGGGTGTTTAGGTTAAAGAAGATTTTAATTGTAGTTGAATCATATCTACTATATACAATGTAAATTAAAGGTCATTACAGTTACTATTGATGAATCTAACTGTTGTGTAATATTTATTTGCCACTTACACTCCAGTTTTTTACTTCTCTTATTCTTTTGCTTATTCAAAGCCAGTATTAATAACTTTTCACAATATCTTCCCTCTAAATCACACTTGAAAACTTGTTTTCTACAGGTACTATCCTTAAATTTCTTATGCTTATGTTTAAAAACAACAAATCGATTTTGATATACATACTGTTTTATAGAATAAACAGCAATTAACATAGACAAAAACT